GGAATACGGTGTTGTACATAAATCCAACACAAAAAGTGAATAATGATTTTATTGAGAGGTAAAATATGGTGGATACTTTTTAATATTTTTATAAATTTTATAAAGATAGGAGAGCATTTAAAGGCCAAGGTTAAATAAATCGGAAAGTCTTATAGCTACCGAATAGCATCTGAGAATTTTAGTGACTAAAGTAGAGCTTTCGATTATCTTGAACTATATTCTGTGTTCATTGGCGATATCTTAAAGGTCCAATGTTGGTAGAAGGGTTTATGACAGTCTAATATCTATAAAAGAGCTTCCGAAGGAACTTCAGGTGGACTTTGGAAAAAATTATGTATGTAGAGGAGCTTTTGAATGCCGTCTTTATATAGAAACGCTTGAGATGGTCTTTCTCTATAGAAAGACAAATGCTTATGAACGACATCTGTCTGTAGAAGAGCTTTGTATATTCTAATACCTACAAAAAAGCCTTCGAAGATCATCTATATGTGAGCTTTTGGGGCTCTCCTAAGTATAGATCATTTGTTGAGTGTATTAGTAGCTTAGAATAGCTTTTGTAGGACTTTACTTAAAAAATTTAAGATTTTTAAATGGAATTCTTCCGAATAATGGATGTGTAGGAATACGTATATAGGACGTAGATAGGAAGCTTATGAGCGATAAAAGCTTATGAGCGGTATTTATCTATAGAAAAAATTTAGAAGGTACTGTATCTAAGATCTGGAAGTATAGAAGATGTTTCCAATGTACTATATATATGGAATAGAGGTTTAGAAAATCTTCATCATATTGAAGAGCTTTTGCGGGTTTAATATGAGCCGAAAACATTTTCCAAAAGGTATTCTATTAATAGGAGAACTTTGGAAGGGATCATATAGAAGATCTCGAAGTATAGAATTTCATGTATGGTATAGATTTTAGAAAATCTTCGTGATATTAAAGAGCTTTTGCAGATGTTCTATGAGCAAAAAATAAATCCTCAAAAGGTCTTCTATTCTATTATTGAAAAGCTCTACAGATTGTTTTGGGTGAAGAAAACCTTAAATGAATAGTCTACATTTAGAAAAGCTTCAGATTGCTTTGAGCATAACTTTTAATGTTGCGGGTTTTTCTTGAGAACTTTGGATGTCCTTAACATATAGAAAATCCTTTGAATATAGACGGGCTTTTGAAGGTTTCCTTCTTGTAGAAGAACTTCTAACCATACCTTAAATCTTTTGTAGAGCTTCGATATGTAGAAAAAAGCTTCAGAAGGTATTCAATGCCTAAAACAAACTATTAAAAGAAAAGTCTATATTTAGAACAGCTTTAGATTGCTTTAAGAAGAGCTTTTAATGTTGTTACTTTTGGGAGAACCTAGAATGTTGTTTAAATGTAAAAAGCTTTTGAATATATACGAGCTTTGAAGTTTCTTTCTTGTAGAAAAACTTCTAAAGATAGTTTCTAGAAATATGTTTGTTTATAGAAAAACTTTAGAATATTTTCTAATCGTGTAAATATACACGATCCTTTGTGTATAGAAGAGCTTTTTTAAAACATCAAAAATAACTTTTGAGTGTTCTTTTAATGTAAAAAGCTTTTGAATATAGCAGGAAGTCAGTTTATAATGACTTCCAGATATTAAAGAGATTTAACAAGTCCTCTTTGTATCATAAACATACTTTCGAAACTCTTTTATTACGTATGAAATTCTTCTGTAGGTTTTGTATGAGTGTATAAAAGCTTTAGAAGTTCCTGTATCCCTAGAGATTTCAATAGTTTTAAAAAGTTTTATATAAAAGCTTCAGGTATTCCGTTGTCCATAAAAACAAAACTTCTGAAGGTTATCTATATAATGCAAAGCTTTTGAATTTGTCCTGTCAGTAGAAGAGCTTTCAATAACTTCAGAAGGATTTCTATATTTATCTTGATATACCTCCTTAATCGGAAGATGTTATGAAAAGACCTTTTTTCAGATAAAATCAACTATTTTGAAATTTATGTACAGGTCCTCTAAAGAGCTGAAAACACCTTGTACCGAATCTTCTTTTCTTCCAGAATTCGTGAAATACGCAATCCATCCTCTCTAGAAGTTCCCGAAGATTTCCTATCCGAAATAAAACGTTTGGCTTTTGAATCGGTGGCTGTTATTGCTTTGGATAAAGATTTGGGTTTGGTACGCAATAAGAATGCCGTCCCTGAGGCTCAGGAACTTTTCAATCATTTACAACATTTCACCAAGGCTTTCTACGATTTGGGTATAAAACCCTCCATATATCGATATATTAAAACCCCATCCTATCGTCGTTTTGAAAATGCCATGGACAGCATAACCCAAATATGTAGTAAATTTGTCGATGAAACTTTGCAACGTATTGAGGCTCGTGGTGGCGACCACCAAGAGGGTAGAAGTGTTTTGGAAAAGCTGATAAAAATTGATCGCCGCATTGCCATTATTATGGCCATCGATATGTTAATTGCTGGGGTGGATACAACATCATCCGTTATGGCAGCTGTCCTATTGTGTATGGCCAAAAATCCTGAAAAGCAAGAAAAATTGAGGCAGGAGATTTTAACAAATATTGGTCGCACGGAAAAATTCACAATGGAAAATATGAAAAATCTGCCCTACTTGAAGGCCTGCATAAAGGAGTCATTGCGTACATATCCTTTGGTAGCTGGTAATATGCGAACAACGGGTCAGGATTTGTGTTTGAGTGGTTATCAGGTGCCCAAGGGGACAAATGTATTTTTAACATCAAATCTATTGCTACAGGAGGATAGATATTTCCCGAATGCCGAGAAATTTATGCCAGAACGATGGTTGCGATCAAGTAATCAGGATGATATATCGGCTAAGAATACAAATCCATTTATATTTTTACCCTTCGGTTTTGGTCCTCGCTCTTGTGTGGGAAAGCGAATTGTCGATCTGCAATTGGAAATTACTTTGGCCAATATTGTAAGGAATTTTAAAATGGAATATCAATATTCGACGGAGAATGCATTTAAGAATTATTTTATGAACACATGTGTTATACCATTGAAATTTAAATTTACCGATTTGAAATAGGAAAAAATGTTAAAATATTTGGAAATAAAAAGGTAAATGGTTCCAATTTGAAAGGGAAATTTACATTGAGTTTGTATTTCATAACAGATCATTTTAAATTTAGATTCTAAATATCTTAAAAATACGAGTTTCATAATTTTTTAGTTTCGTACACTTTTTCTATTTTTTATTAATTGGAACTATTACATTTACTTATATAATTAGTCTTAATTAATATTTTATTTTAAAAATTAAATGATTATGTCGAGGTATATATGAATTTTCATAATTCAAAATTTCATACATTATTATTTGTTAATGAGAGCTTTAAACTAATTAGTTGACAAACATTTGTTTTTGTTAATTATTGTATATACTCTTTTTGTTGTTATTATTATAATTCATTCAAAAATAAAATAAAATACAAAAACTTTGTTACAAAATAAAAAAATATCAAATTTATTTTTATGGTGGAAAAAATAATACTCCGTTCTATCTTTTCCAGAGGGATAACTCTTGTGAGATTTATTCCAATATAAATCCCTTAATGAATGGTAAGCCCGTGGGAACATTTTGTTGATACGTCTTATAATCGGAACGGAAGAAATTCAACAATGAAAACTCCTCACAATAAATACGATCGTGAAAGAATTTCCAACTTATTATCGTATAGGCAACAATACAAATGGGATTCATTAGAATCACTTGTGTACCAATTGACCACCAAAACCAACCAACATAGGAGGGGTGACGGGAATAGGCATAGATGCCATGTGTTATTAGTTTATGATCATCTGCCTTTTCGTATTGTACCTGGAAAGGAAAAGTGAAAAAAGAGGCTTAGAAGATGAAATAAAAAATAGTTTGAAAAAAATCTACAGATTAAATCCGTCTGGAAACCAAGATTTTTAAAAGAATGAATTGGTCTGTATAGAAACCACAGGTCTTTATAAAAACCTATGGTCTCTTTAAACACCAATTGGTCTGTATAGAGACCACAGGTCTTTATAAAGACCAATTGGTCTGTATAGAGACCACAGGTCTTTATAAAGACCAATTGGTCTGTATAGAGACCACAGGTCTTTATAAAGACCAATTGGTCTGTATAGAGACCACAGGTCTTTATAAAGACCAATTGGTCTGTATAGAGACCACAGGTCTTTATAAAGACCAATTGGTCTGTATAGAGACCACAGGTCTTTATAAAGACCAATTGGTCTGTATAGAGACCACAGGTCTTTATAAAGACCAATTGGTCTGTATAGAGACCACAGGTCTTTATAAAGACCAATTGGTCTGTATAGAGACCACAGGTCTTTATAAAGACCAATTGGTCTGTATAGAGACCACAGGTCTTTATAAAGACCAATTGGTCTGTATAGAGACCACAGGTCTTTATAAAGACCAATTGGTCTGTATAGAGACCACAGGTCTTTATAAAGACCAATTGGTCTGTATAGAGACCACAGGTCTTTATAAAGACCAATTGGTCTGTATAGAGACCACAGGTCTTTATAAAGACCAATTGGTCTGTATAGAGACCACAGGTCTTTATAAAGACCAATTGGTCTGTATAGAGACCACAGGTCTTTATAAAGACCAATTGGTCAGGTCTTTATAAAGACCAATTGGTCTGTATAGAGACCACAGGTCTTTATAAAGACCAATTGGTCTGTATAGAGACCATAGGTCTTTATAAAGACCAATTGGTCTGTATAGAGACCAAAGGGTTTATAGAGACCACAGGTCTTTATAAAGACCAATTGGTCTGTATAGAGACCACAGGTCTTTATAAAGACCAATTGGTCTGTATAGAGACCACAGGTCTTTATAAAGACCAATTGGTCTGTATAGAGACCACAGGTCTTTATAAAGACCAATTGGTCTGTATAGAGACCACAGGTCTTTATAAAGACCAATTGGTCTGTATAGAGACCACAGGTCTTTATAAAGACCAATTGGTCTGTATAGAGACCACAGGTCTTTATAAAGACCAATTGGTCTGTATAGAGACCACAGGTCTTTATAAAGACCAATTGGTCTGTATAGAGACCACAAGTCTTTATAAAGACCAATTGGTCTGTATAGAGACCACAGGTCTTCATAAAGACCAATTGGTCTGTATAGAGACCACAGGTCTTTATAAAGACCAGTTGGTCTTTATAGAGACCACAGGTCTTTATAAAGGCCAATTGGTCTGTATAGAGACCACAGGTCTTTATAAAGGCCAATTGGTCTGTATAGAGACCACAGGTCTTTATAAAGACCAGTTGGTCTGTATAGAGACCACAGGTCTTTATAAAGGCCAATTGGTCTGTATAGAGACCACAGGTCTTTATAAAGGCCAATTGGTCTGTATAGAGACCACAGGTCTTTATAAAGACCAGTTGGTCTGTATAGAGACCACAGGTCTTTATAAAGGCCAATTGGTCTGTATAGAGACCACAGGTCTTTATAAAGACCAATTGGTCTGTATAGAGATCACATGTCTTTTAAAAGACCAATAGTTCTCTTTATAGACATATGACTAATTCGTCTCATATTCAACATCAGTGACTCATTATTTCAAAATCAAGATTTATTCAACTCACCAAATGTGTAAAACTACTACTGGCCGTAACCATCGCTGTTTTCCGTACAACTTCGCCAAACAAACACATCAAAACACCCAGCACCCACAAATAGTAAATATCCTTAAAACTGGGTAAGAAATGTACTTCCAAAACAAATTCTATCCAACTGGCTGCCGCAGCCATACCATAGGCCCAGGAATGATTTAACATAAACGAATCCACCGTTAAACTTTTCGGATTACAATAGGCAATGGCCAGGAATTCGGAATAATGAAAAAATGCCATAAACAAACCATACGTGCCGAATTGTTTCCAAACATTGGGTGCAAAGCATATTGTCAATATGCTAATGGCTTCCACAAAGCCTAAAAAGGCGGAACGTATGCCAACCTAAAGAACAAAAAATCAAAAATTAATGGCTTAAGTCTAGTTTAGGGGCTCCACCCGGATCGCTTTGAAATTTTTACCGTAAGTAGTCCTCGTTGTGCTGATTACAGTGATATATATTTTATGTGGGGGAAATGCATACTTCCCGAGATATGGGCCTTGAAAGTTTGGAATATACCTTGGTTAAAACGGCCGTTTTACTAATGCCACCAAAGCAATATGGGTATCATTTTAAAGGGTTTGAATAAATTATATAATATTAACTAAAATTGAAAGAAAAAACATTTGGATTGCGTAGCCATGTATGCGCCTGTCCATAGTTGAAAGTCTTAAGCCCCGGCCGAAGGCCGGCTACTTAAAAAACCTTGAATTTGATTTGAAAATTGCTCTTAAAAAAGGCTTTGGATTGCGTAGCCATGTATGCGTCTGTCCATAGGTGAAAGTTTTAAGCCCCGGCCGAAGGCCGGCTACTTAAAAAACCTTGAATTTGATTTGAAAATTGCTCTTAAAAAAGGATTTGGATTGCGTAGCCATGTATGCGTCTGTCCATAGGTGAAAGTCTTAAGCCCCGGCCGAAGGCCGGCTACTTAAAAAACCTTGAATTTGATTTGAAAATTGCTTTTAAAAAAGGATTTGGATTGCGTAGCCATGAGTGCGCCTGTCCATAGGTGAAAGTCTTAAGACCCGGCCGAAGGCCGGCTACTTAAAAAAAACCTAAAATTGATTTGGAAATTGCTCTTAAAAAAGGATTTGGATTGCGTAGCCATGTATGCGTCTGTCCATAGGTGAAAGTCTTAAGCCCCGGCCGAAGGCCGGCTACTTAAAAAACCTTGAATTTGATTTGAAAATTGCTTTTAAAAAAGGATTTGGATTGCGTAGCCATGAGTGCGCCTGTCCATAGGTGAAAGTTTTAAGCCCCGGCCGAAAGGCCGGCTACTTAAAAAAAAACCTAAATTTGGTTTGGAAATTGCTCTTAAAAAAGAATTTGGATTGCGTAGCCATGTATGCGTCTGTCCATAGGTGAAAGTCTTAAGCCCCGGCCAAGGCCGGCTTCTTAAAAAACCTTAAATTTGATTTGAAAATTGCTCTTAAAAAAGGATTTGGATTGCGTAGCCATGAGTGCGCCTGTCCATAGGTGAAAGTTTTAAGCCCCGGCCGAAAGGCCGGCTACTTAAAAAAAAACCTAAATTTGATTTGGAAATTGCTCTTAAAAAAGAATTTGGATTGCGTAGCCATGTATGCGTCTGTCCATAGGTGAAAGTCTTAAGCCCCGGCCAAGGCCGGCTTCTTAAAAAACCTTAAATTTGATTTGAAAATTGCTCTTAAAAAAGGATTTGGATTGCGTAGCCATGAGTGCGCCTGTCCATAGGTGAAAGTTTTAAGCCCCGGCCGAAAGGCCGGCTACTTAAAAAAAACCTAAATTTGATTTGGAAATTGCTCTTAAAAAAGAATTTGGATTGCGTAGCCATGTATGCATCTGTCCATAGGTGAAAGTCTTAAGCCCCGGCCAAGGCCGGCTTCTTAAAAAACCTTAAATTTGATTTGAAAATTAAAATGATACCCATATTGCCTTTGTGGCATTACTAAAACGGCCGTTTTAATCAAGATATGCTCCGAAATTTCAAGGCCCATATCTCGGGAAGTATGCATTTCCCCCACATAAAATATATATCACTGTAATCAGCTCAACGAGGACTACTTACGGTAAAAATTTCAAAGCGATCCGAGTGGAGCCCCTAAACTAGACTTGTTCCAAATTAATTAAATTCCATGACGAAAATCTACCTCGACTCACCTGATAATCGGTATCCCTTAATACAAAACGTATTACCATACAAATCAGGGCAAAATATAATGCCGGTCCCCACATTCGTGCACCCCAAACGTTTGGCACTGCTCCATAGTAGATTTGCGGTATGGATGGCAACAAAATCAACGATATTGTGACCACATAGCAGACAAGACTTACACGGCCCTCACGACATAGTCGGCGGGAGGGTGTAATGTGTTGTTGCAAATGATTTATGCACATTGTAATGAATTTGTGCAATTTTGGATACCA